ATTGCATATAAAGTCCACCTAAATAACATAGTTAGTATTCGACCTACTGCACATATAATCTAATTTAAAGTTGCAAAATTTAAAACTTATAAAAGTTAAGCAAACAAAAAACTTATGACGAAAGCAGTTTCATCTGCAACTCGATCTGAAAATACACCTTCCGTTCCTGGTTTTGCTGACAACGTCGCGCAGCTACTTATTTATATTGGGTTAAAAATGTAATGCACATGTAGAATATAGAGGGTGTGCGTTTATAGAGTGTGCATATATGGAGCTTTGACTGTATACAGTTTTTAAGATACTGTATTTAATTTGTAACATTTATTAATATAGATTTTTATTATAAAAATTTGTTAAAATCTGGCGTCTACAAAAATAAAGGTAATATCTTCAGCTATGTTAGCTATGAATTTTTATCAATATTACATACGAATTATGCATGACTGAAATTCCAAAGATTCATTTTACAACCAAATAAACTCGGATTTAAGTTTGTAAAAAAATAAACATTTAAGGTGTAATAACATGCTATAATATAAATTATAATTTCCGAAAAGCTACCTATTTGACAAGTAAAAAATTTAATATTTTAACTTGGCAGTGCTCTCTCCATAGGATAAATTTATTCGAACGAATATGTAATTAATAATTCCAAAAAAAAAAAAAACTTATTTAAATTCGAAAAATAGAAAAATTCAAAAATGACTCTTGCAGAATATAGAAATTTTTTTACACAATTGAGCACATATTTTTTACGACTGAATTAGCAAATTCATCTGCAGCTTTTTCTGCAGCTTTTTCTGCAGCCGTTCCTACAACCGTTCCTATTACGGTTCCTACCTTTTTTGTCCAACTTGTTTTTTGTTGTTTTTCTCTTATGTGTTGCAATGTCCCATCCCTAATTGTTTCTTCTAGTTGGTTTGCTTTTTGAACTAATTGTTCTACTTCTTTGCTGTCTGCTTCAGTTGAGTTTATTAAAAGATTTAATTCCCTCTGTATTCTTTCTTTTTCCCTCATTGGCAGATAAATTTTAGCAACAAGTTGTCTTAGTCTTTGAGTTTTATAAACTTCCTGACAAGTTGCTAAATGGCTCAATAAAATGTTTCTTGATTCATTTCGTGCTTCTAAAGTATCATCTTCCTCTTTTGTTAAATTATTAACGTGAATAACTTTATTGCAGGACTTGATCAACTCTTTTAATGCATTGCTATTAGCATTCATCAATTTTATGTCATTTTTGCATTCTTTTTCATCCTTAAAATTAGAAAATCTGGACCTAACAATGGTAGTATATTCAGAAATATTCTCATCAAAAATGACCAATTTTAATAAATTGTAGGTTGTTATTTCTTCTTCGCAAAACCTTCCACTAGTTACGAACAAAACTTGTGTTAAACCATTTCTAAGGAGATAGGTAGCTTCAGCCATCTTATCCAATACTTCTTTTTCAGATAATTTAGTATCACCAATTCCTACAGTGTCAATTACTTTATATTTAATTCCTTCGTACTCAAATTCCTCTTGTTGAATGTTACGAGTTTCACTAACTGCATAATTTCCCTCCTTAAATTTATTAATACCAGTTAAGACATTAGCTAATGTTGATTTTCCACTACCTGTTCTCCCAAATAGTAGAATATTGCGGGTAGTTTCGATTTCTTCTGATTTTTGTTCTTGTAATTGTAATTGCAATTGAACGATATTCTCTTCCAATATACTAACTCTTTCATTTGTTTTAGTTAGTTCTTTAATTAAAAATTGTACTATGTTATTTTTCTTAATAATTTCTTCTACTCTTTTTTTTTCTAGTTGCAATTTTTCACATTTTGAACATAATTTGCTGTCGTCATCAATAAAAAGCTTACTCCTTTCTATTGAATCATAATATTCTTCATTATTTATATAACAATCATAACAGAGACCGGTATCTAAAACACTTTGTTCTTTTTCACAACTAGAGCAACAGTATGACCATCGTAGTGCTCTTTTGTCTTTTAATTCTTTCCCACAACGTTGACATTCCAGCATGATTTCTGATACTTTTTATTTTAAAAAATATTATTTTTAGTCCAGAAAACTTTATATTCTCTTAATAATACTACGCAGTTAAGGTCAGTAATTTTGTTATTCATTGAGAAAAAAAGACAATGAAAGACCTCAATAACAAGTATCTATTGAGATTCTCTATTTGTTTCATTAGCTACACGATATATAAACAATAAATAATCATTCGGCCTTCTAAATTTGTATTAATAATACGGTTAGACCTCCCTAAATGCAAGTTGTCGGGATCAGCTCTGGAGCGTGCATGCAATTAGAGAACACTTTAAAATCACAATGAAACCATTATCACGTGATAAATATGGCTTTAGTAGCCTAGAAATAATGAATTCGATTGGCTAGTAATCACGCAAATGCTTTTATAGAATGAGTTTATAGAATGAGTTTTTACGAGTAAGCCAGACAATTAGTGTACGCTTACAGAATAAAGATCGTGTATTTATCTATAAGTCCCGGTTTAATATAATACATTTAGGAGGTGCTGCTAAGGATGGGCAAATTTTGTAAATTACATTGTAACGTACATAATTACTTACATGATTTTGCAAGCTTACACTAAGATATATATTGTAACTTACATGTAACTTATACGTAACTTATATCAAAAATTTGAAATTTACGCCAAATGCCCATTCTTCTGTGCTGCATTTAGGAGTTGTACTGTATTTATCATGTACAGTAATGTTATGCTGTTTAATACTGACTTGCATTAAATTGTTTATTTGGAGTTTTAATTAGCTATTTTGGTCATGCATGACTATTAATCATAAATCTATACAATTTCAATATTTGGAAATTATTAAAACTTTTTGGCATTTTTTTTTGATCGTATTACTTTAATTTAAAATTATTAATAAGATACTACGCAACACAGTCGTGCGAAACCAGGAACAGCAGACGTGAGTATCTGTATTGCAATTAGTAAATATATTGGTTATACACTATTAGACATGTGATGTATAGCCCGCGTAGGGTATTTGATATGAACCAAAAACAAGATTATCTGGCCGGCATTAATATAACATCCGGCCAGCATTAATATAATATATTGAAATCGGCTGGTACGGCGAGTCAGTCACTCCACAATCCAAAATCTCGTGTTACCTACGGTTGGCTTAGTCGAAAAGAGGCGTTTAGATTTGGTCGGTGGTTTGGGTCTGTAGGTAAGTATTTCTTCGTTACTTGTCTTGCGTTTTCCTTCTCTTGAACTTACTAACTCTATTCCTCAATTACCTC